AATTTGTAGCTTCTTCTAGTGTAGAGAAAATATGTATGTCATGTGTAGTTTTATCTGCTAAATCATTGCCCAAACTAAGGGCTCCAGGCAATCCTGTATGTGCCCTAATATGTCCTATAAAGAATGGATCTTTTCTGTCCCAGATTAGACTTTGTATAGTGGAAAACAAAGAGAAAACAGTAGAGGAAGGGGAAATCCTACCAGCATCTTCAAGGGATACAAGGGATACGAATAATAAATTACAATTTATTATTTTTAGTTTCTTTAAATGTTGTAGATGGACACAATACCTTTATTTATTTATTTTTATGTGGTGCTAAGGCTCAGACCCAGTGCCTCACATGTGCAAGGAAGTACTCCATCACTGAGCCACAACCCCAACCCCCATTACAATTTACTGATGAGAGTAACATGATAAAATGAAGACAACAGTTCTCTTTAGCTATGTTTTAAAAATGGATTATAGTTTGAGATGAAGGAACATTGGAAATGGTGAACAATATTCATTGCTATAACAGTTCAAGGTGATTTCATTGTTTTTTGTTTAGTTTTCTAATCCAGTGATGACTTTAGCAGATACCTTTTTTTTCCTCTCTCTCTCTGTCTGATACCTTTCTTTTGAAGTCTGACGTGTCTACTTTATGACTTATGAATGAACAAGACAGGAGGAAGAGTTCTGCACTAGAAAGCAGTAGGTCCCTTGTTCTCTACTTTTTAAATTCATGAACATGGATGAATACTTATTTTCTCTTGTGCATTGATTGCCTTAATTGTAAAATGAGGATAATCATCTGAGGACAGAGGTCTAGATTAGAATATCTTCGGAAGTCCTTTTCAGTCTATTATCCACATATTAATTATAGTCTGTGTGAACCATGAATGTTGTATTTTGCTTCCTGTATTCATTCCTACTAGAGGGGTTACAGAAGATAAAAGGCCATCATGATAATAACTATTTCAAAATCTCTAAAGTCTAATGTTATGTGTATATTGTTATATTCGAAAATATATATACATTGGGTGTGTTTAGCTATTTAGTATTCTAGTTTTTATTAGACTATATAGCATTCAAGCTGATGGACAGAACTTTAGCCTGGAATACTTTCAGAGAAACTTGAAAAATATAAAAACTGTTCCACAAGACATAGTGTCTTATAAAACTCAGTAATACTGCAATAATATTAATATTGTTTCCTTAGGATTACTAGAAATTGTAATTTCTACCTTTGTTTGCTACTGAATACACATGTATTTTACATATAAACTTTTTGTTTGGATGGTTTTAAGACCAAGAACATTCTGGTCTCTCTTTGTCTTAGTCTCCTCTCTTTCTTTGTTGTTGTTATCCCTTCTGTTTGGGTTGTTTCTTGCCTCATCCCCCTTTAATCCATCTGGAAAGCTGAAGAGACAGCTGCTATGGTAACTATGTGTTTTGGTTAATGAATAACAGAGTAACAAGATACATAAAACTTATGCAAACTCTGCAGAATTAGTTGTTATCAAAGTCGTAGGGATATGATATTTTCTTTTTCTTCTAGAAACACTCTTAACTTTCCTGTGGTATTTAATTTTCTAATTTCCTAATATGATATTCTTAGGAAGTATTCTTTCTGCTTAGTCTGCATAATATTTTACCTTGTGAATTTATGGGAGATAAGATGTATAAAGAAAAAAATTGATCAGTTGGATTAAGAAGTAGTTTTCCTTTAGATTAATAAATAGAAGAATAGGGACAAAAACTTACTGGTGCGTGTGTGTTTGTGTGTGTGTATTTTTAACCTATAACTTCTTTGTTCCCCTTGCTTTTTGGCTACTAGTGCCCCTTTTGAGTTTTTCTCTGGGGTTAGAATCTGTAAGTAGTATGTTTCTTGAAAGTGTTTCTATCATAAAGGCCAGCTGCAACTGGATTATTGCTTTCAGCCTAGCCTTGAAAATTCCTGTAATCTGTGCCATCCTGTTTCATACTGTCCCATCTCATAGTTGTCCTCTCTCTGCAGTGCTCTATGCCCAGGTCTCTGTGGCTGGGCTGCTCCAGCCTGGCGGACAGCATGCCTTCGCTGCGATGCCTGTATAACCCAGGGACTGGCGCACTCACAGCTTTCCAGGTACTTTCTCTGTCTCTGTGGGTTATTTGCGGGCATTAGTAAGTGTGTGTTTCTAGTTCACTAGTATGTCTGTCGTTCTTTCCCATGCTTTACTTGTATTCACCTTTTTCCTTCATGGTATCTGTATTTGACATCACTCAATATTTCTTTAATGATTCACTTTTAATGTAGATCTAGACTGTCTTAAGACATTCTTATCACTATCACGTTTGATTTATCAAAATGGATATAGTACAATTGACTGTAGGTTTTTAGATATAGAAGAAGTGTACTAGTAAATTTTAAAGTAGTTTGAATATATAGCAATTTAGCATGTAATGTTTGCTCTGAACCTACATAAAGCCAGTTAATGTAATTAATTAATTAATCATAATCATTTATCTAAACACCTTATATTTTTATGATTACTAAAAAATATGCAATATCGTATATAGAGTATCTTTTGGTTAATACGTGTGTGTGTTTGTGTGTGTGTATATACACATACATATACATACATACTATGTTTTATTTATATCTTGATTAATGTTCCTAGTTTCAAGTGAAAAGGCCTTTCAGACCCTTGGGTATATTATTCACCTTGAGACAGTCTAGTTGCGTTTGCACGGATTGACAAGATTATAGTTTCCCCCAGCCTTTCTTAGAAGTCAGTAGGCCAGTTCCATAATGTACAAGGAAATATAGAAGAAGACGACAGAAGTTGTGAAAAAGAGCTTGGTGCTCATTGCTTATGGATTTAGGTACTGGGAATGATGGTTTTCCTTGGCAGAAGTGTTATCGGTCTACCTTAGGTTTTTTAAATTTGTGTTTTGCATTTCATAGTAATACACAACATTAGTTTAGTTTAGTTTAGTTTAGTTTTGGTTTTTTTTTTTTATAATATTTATTTTTTAGTTCTCGGCAGACACAACATCTTTGTTGGTATGTGGTGCTGAGGATCGAACCTGGGCCGCACGCATGCCAGGCGAGCGCGCTACCGCTTGAGCCACATCCCCAGCCCCTAGTTTAGTTTTGTTTTAAATCAGGTTTTGTTGTTGTTGTTGTTTGTTTTCTGTTTTTGTTTTGTGGTACTGGAAGTTGAACCTAGGACCTCACACATGCTCAACAAGCATGCTGAGACTGGCTTGAACTTGTAATCTTATGATCTTCCTGCCTCAGTCTCCTGTCACTGGGATTACAGGTGTGTGTTGCCAAGTATGGACCCCTTTGCACTCTTAAGAAAATTATTGAGGACCTCAAAGTGCTAGTGTTTATATACATTGTATCAATTGATATTTATTATATTTGAAATCAGAGCTAAGAAATTTCAGTGTTATATAATCCTTCATTTTAAAATATAATAAACCTATACAAAATTAATATAAAGAACATTTTTGTGAAACCACTATTTTCAGAAAATTAAGACTAGCATTGTATTACATTTTTACAAATTGAATGTTTGGATAATAAAACACAAGTAGATTCTTGTTTCTGCTTCTACCTTCAGTCTTGCATGTTTTGTCTGAAATAATATATAAAGAGTAGCTGGCCTCTCACAAACAACAGTTTAAAAAGGTAGAAATATTTTAATATACTTTTCAGGCAATTATAATTTATTAAAGATTAGTTGCAATGTGGGATCTGAACCCATATTACTGAACTACTTCTGTTATTGTATTAAAATCCATTGGTCTTAGTTTTTTCAAAAATCATGCTGAAAAAATTGGATATCCATATACAAAATAATGAACCTTGACTGCTAAATTGTACCATATACAAAAATTAACTTGAAATGGATAATGGGCCTAAATATGAACCAAAATTATAAAATTAGGACTGGGGTTGTGGCTTAGTGGTAGAGCGCTTGCCTAAAAGAAGTTACTTTTTTTTTTTTTTTTTTAAGAGAGAGTGAGAGAGGAGAGAGAGAGAGAGAATTTTTAATATTTATTTTTTAGTTCTCGGCGGACACAACATCTTTGTTGGTATGTGGTGCTGAGGATCGAACCCTGGTCGCACGCATACCAGGCGAGCGTGCTACCGCTTGAGCCACATCCCCAGCCCCAAAGAAGTTACTTTTTAAAAAATGATAAAATTAATAGAAAATTTAGGAGAAGAAATTATTTGTGTCTTTGGGTTAGGCAAAGATTTTTTAGATAAGTAGGTGAGTGCGCACACACACAAAACAATCTATGAACCATAATAGAAGTACTGAAAAATTGCATTTAATCACTGTTTAAAACTTCTTCACCTCAAAAGATACAGTTTTAAAAATGAACATGTAGGGCTGGGGATGTGGCTCAAGCGTTAGCGCGCTCGCCTGGCATGCGTGCGGCCCGGGTTTGATTCTCAGCACCACATACAAACAAAGATGTGTCTGCCGATAACTAAAAAATAAATATTAAAATTCTCTCTCTCTCTTTCTCTCTCTCCCTCTCTCACTCTCTCTTTAAAAAAAAAAATGAATATGTAGGTGGAGCATGGTGGCCTATACTTGTAATCCCAGCAATTCAGGAGGCTGATGAAAGGAGGATCACAAGTTTGAGGCCAGCCTCAGCAATTTAGCAAGATCCTGTCTCAAAATAAAAAGGCTAGGGATATAACTCAATGGTAGAGCACCCCTGGAATTCAGTCCCCAGTACCAAAACAAACAAAAAAACCAAACTGGAAGAGAATATTTGTAAATTGTATAGCTGATAGAAGACTTGTATTCTTTTTTTTTTTTTTGTACTGGAGGTTGAACTCAGGGGCATTCGATATCTGAGCCACACATCCTCAGCCCTGTTTTGTATTTTATTTAGAGACAGGGTCTCATTGAGTTGCCTAATGCCTCACCTTTGCTAAGGCTGCCTTTGAACTCATGATCCTCCTGTCTCAGCCTTCCTAGCCGCTGGGATTATAGGTGTGTGCCACTGCAGACGACTTGTATTCTGATTATCTAATGTAGTCCTCCTACATAATAAGATAAACTACCCAGTAAAACAGTGAGCAAAAAATTTGAATAGATAGAACACCAGAGAATATAGACAAATAGCAAATAAGCACATGAAAAGATGCACAATATTTTTAGTCATGGAAATGCAAATTAAAAATAACATTGAGATACTACTACTTGTTGCCTACATGCCTCATCTCACTCTTAAATTTGGACATAGAAATGTAATAGGCCTTAGGTAGTTAGTATGTCCTAGTTCAATTTGAGAAATGTGTAAGCAGAAGCGATTTCTTCTAGCTGTTGACCTCTACAGTATCCAATAGAGTGTTCTTTAATAGTTAGGGCTCAGTAAATACTGATGATTTGAACTATATTCAATAAATGGTAAAGATAATCATGTATAATTAAAAATCATACAAGTTTAAGTCTTTTGACATGAATATCAAGATATCCAGAAAAATTCAAATTTTTTGTTTTGGCCTAAAGCAATCTTGAATTTAAACTCAGTAGGAAATAATTTTGAGTAAATGCATCATCACGATAGATTTTTTTCTAAATCTGGTATTAATCAACATTTAACATATATTTATTTTTCTCTAATTATTCCTCATAAAAGGTGGGCTTAGAGGTTTTGCTGGAAAATTCAGGAATAAATTTGGTGTATAGGTCCTGAATTGTATTGAAGAGTGAAATTGTATAGTATATACAGAAAAGAGATGCTTGTGAAATATCTTAGAGTAGAAGCCCTCTGTGGTCAGTGCATGGTATAGTGATTAAGAGCATGAACCCTGATGCTGAATTGCCTGGGTCTTAAGTCTCATTCTATTATTTTCTAGGTACAACGTTTGTGCAAGTACTTGACCTGTCTGAACCTCAGTTTCCTTAAGATAATAGTATTTATCTTATAGGGGTGATATTAGGATTAAATAAGTTGATTATATTAAGTTCTTAAAACAATCACTGGTGGGCTGGGGTTGTGGCTCAGTGGTAGAGTGCTTGCCTAGCAGTTGTGAGGCATTGAGTTTGATCCTCAGCACCACATTGAAAAAAAAAAAAAAGAAAATAAATAAAGTTATTATGTCCATCAGTAACTAAAAATATATTTTAAAAAACAATAGCTGTCAGATTAATTAATTTTATGTTGTTAGAAAAATTATATATAGAAGGGGTAGGTTTGGAGTCTCTCAGCAAAAACTATTTTTCACCTCTGCATAAAATAGTATGTTTTTAAATTTTTTTTTTCATCATGTACTGCACAATTCTGGTTTTTAAGGAAGCCCACCTTTGGTTCAATTTTTTATGATAATAGTGCTATGAATATTTTTTCTTTGCTTATCTTCAGCAAGGTCATTATTATAATTTATGTAGCCAAAATGGAAGAAATTGGCTTATCTACTAGTTTCACTCTAATTTGTTTTATGTCAGATTCAGCATACACTGGTGCTTGATTGCTTTCTGACTAATCAGCAGAAACAGGACTTGAATCTAGCACTTCCACTGCTGGAATTATGGTAGTCTTTGTAAATGTGTATCTTTCTGGTTTAAATTTTATTTTTTAATTCAGTTTTTTTTGTTTGTTTTAGGTAAAACTTACCATGAAATACACAGATCTTAAGTGTATTCTGAGTGAGTTTTGACAAATTGTATACATTTGGGTAATCTAACTTCAAAAATAGAGAATATTTAGAAAGTATCCTTAATATAACTCCTTTCCAGTCACTACTCATCCCCTATATGCAATTACTGTTCTGGTTTGTTTCAAAAATTAGTTTTTCATGGTTTTGGACTTCATGTAAATGCAGTCATATAACATATATTCTTTTGTGTCTGTTTTCTTTTGATCAGTATGATGTTTTTGAGATTTATTCATGGTGTATGTATTAGTTTATTCTTTTCCATTGCTGAGCATATTTAATTGTATTAGTATACCACAAGTTGTTTATTCATTCATTTATTGATAGTCATTTGGATTGTTTCCAATTTTTTTTGCCTGTTTTGAATCTATAAACAATTTTGTAGAAGTTTTTTTTTTTTCCTTTTTTGCCACATGTTTATATTTCTCTTGGGTAAACACCTAAGTGTGGAATTG